ATACCGGGGAATATTGCTTATAAGAGAATTATCGAAACAGTTCATTGATGGAAGCACTGGACCCACTCAGCACCTTGTACGGTCGTCAGTATAGGCATTATTTTGTTTCAGAGAAAGTAACACGATGTCAGTTATCTGCAGGTGCAAGATTTGACGTCGGTTGGGTGTCCTACGAGTTTTGCACAACAGTCAACCTCAAAAACAATCATTACTGAAACATAGACAGTAACATGATAACGGTAATCAATTGTCTTGTTTAATTTCCAAGGAAATTAATGCGCGAACTTGGAGTAAATCTATCGGAATAAAGCCTCAAGGTGATATCAGTCGGGTTGCATTACGGTGTGCTATGATATACCTATGCAGTTTATTCTTAAAAGCCTCGACAGGTGTGGAAATGACGATATGTGCAAGCAGAGCATTCCAAGCTTCAACCATCCTTTCAGAGAAGGATTTCATGTGTCCAGCCTGGCACTGGTCACACGTATGTAGAGTGGATGGCCTCGCAGGTTCATTGTATTCTCCAACTCATAGAAGTTTCTGGGTACAAGGCAGTATTCTTGCCTGTGTCTGTTTTGGACTGCGTGTATCGGGTCATTCCTTAGCTGTCTGTTATCTGGAGGAAATAGTCGAGGTTAGACAATCGCGTTTCATAGGGCAGTGAACCCTGTCCACTAACGACTTTGGTCGCCCGTCTTTGAACTTTTTCGAGGATGCTGGAGTCTTTAGCGGTCACGGGTTTCCACGCTATAGCGAACTGAAACTGTGCCCACACAAATGCTAGAAGGTACTTACCTATGCAGTCTCCACCAAGGATAGAGAAAGCCACTCGACAAGGAGCAGTGTCCACATCGCTGACATAGCTGCTTTTGAGCAGATCAGCGATGGTTAAGTAAAATCGTGATCTACGCACCAAATTTCTTGTGAGCGTCTGCTACCTGATATAGTATGCCATTTAGGTGGTAAACCCTGTGTTTTATGAGATCGCGTTCTGCGACTTGCAGAATGCTACACTTAGTCATATTAAACAACAAAAGCCAGTTCCGCGACTATTTCTCGAACCGGTTCAGGTTTGTCTGCAAACGCTCTTTGTCAAATTCATGAGGGGCGTTAACAAACGGACACATATGATGCCATTTAGGTAGACATGGAAACCTCTTCAGAAATCTCAGAATAAGAATTATTTTTAAGGCCTAAACATATCCCTCCCTTGAGTTTAAATAATAAGATGGAATAAATTGCTACCCAGCGAATCCAATGGGTAATATTGTTGGATATTAAAATACAGCCGTGTCTCAACCTAACGTACATTATGATCGAATGATTAGGTTATATTTTATTTTAGAAAATTTTTGGTCTTTTGCACTAAATGTCAATTGGAACTTGGCAAAAATATTCCATTTTCAGTCATCAAGTGCACGCATGGCCATTGTGATTGTCGACCACTTAACAGCCATATATGACACAGTGTCCTACTTTCTCACCCTGAATAGTCTCATTTTTCTATGGTATATCGCTGAGTATATGGAGTTTTCTCCGTCAACTTAATAAACCGGCGGTGATATTTTTATAAAAATTTTCACTTTAAAAACACAAATTGCCTTCATTAATTACTGTGGTTGTGAATCGCAAAACAGGTTGCAATAGCACAGCGTTGTAATTTTCAACCTTGCGTAACCTCACCCATTGATAAAAATTCCTTTGAAAATATTCCATTGTTAATCTTGTAAATCATCATTTTTGGTGAAAGCACAGTTTCTTCTTAACCATATGTTGCACTTGCTGATATTTGAGACGTGTATTCCGCCGATTTTATGGATTTGTCGAAATTGCCGCCATGCATAGCCTCGCCCCTAAGTTCCTGTCAGAAGACAAATTCGCATAAACTGGCGCTTTCTGAACCCTATACGTATATTTATTTAAATATTATTTTTATAGGAATCACATCCCAATTCACTTCTCTTGTTTCAGAAAATCAGAGAAACATCGCTATGCAAACAGACCTCTGGTCTGCTTTTTTAACATGCGAACTCAGATAAGCCTTCGTTATAATCTGAACAAAGCGTGAACGCATCTCATTCGGTATCAATCTGCCGTCCATATCAAGATACAGGATCTTAATGCATGCGCAACTGTCAATGATTTTATGTCTCAGCATGCTTCGTTCTACTTTGTTCCTGGTTCCTTTTGAATAAAAATTGTTATCTCCTACTTCTCAAAAATGTATAAGAAAAACTCGAACGTTGCCGTTGTACAAAAATGTTCCCAGATTTGTATATCCTCCTAATGTCGCTTTTCATTTCCTTTACTCTTGTAGCTTTAACTCTAACATCGGGATAGTAAAAGCCGTTTGTCAGGGAACAGACGCCGGCCTATTTTAATCCGACCGTTTTCAT